CACCCAGGCTGTCTTGAGTCCACAGGTGTCCCCACCCCACTCCAGATCTTCCGTTTACACTTGGCAGGAGTGTCCCATCTTTTGGCTTCCCTGGACCACAGTGGAAGAAATACTGTCTGGGCCACACATAAAATACACCAATGATAGCTGATCGGCTAAAAAACAAAGGTTCATGCATAAATCTCATGATGTTTTAAGAAACTTTACGAATTTGTGGTAAGCCGCATTCAAAGCCATCCCGGGCCACAGGTTGGACAAGCTCATTCACAGATTCTCCCCACGGATTCGGTTTGAGGTTTGCTGCATCCAGCTGATACTTGGTGAGACACTAACCCTGCCCACGATTATCTCCAGGCTCCAGCCGTCAACAGCTGTGTGGGCTCAGACAGGTCACCCGACTCTTCATTTATAAAATGGGGATGGTGACAGGGCCAACCCCACAGAGGAATGCTACAATCAGATGGGATAATGAGAGGTAGGCACTAAGCACGTTGCCTGCAGGGCTCATGGAAGGTGCTGGAGAAATAAGCTTTTAAAAAATTTTTATTACTGTTTTATGAGTAACTGAAGAGTTTGGCCAGAAGTCAGTGGGTCCTGAGAATACGACCTAAAAATAAATAGAAAATTCTTGGCCAGACTGTGCCAAGCACTTTCCATGTATTATCAACGCCTCACAGCAACCCCAGGAGATATGGTGTATCATCATCCTTCATTTGCACAGACAGGGAACTAAGGCTCAGAGAGGTTGAGTCACTCACAGGGGGTCACACAGCTCCCTGATGGACACATGTGTCTGTTCCAGAGCCTGTGCTCTTATCTTCCACACTCACCCACGCTCCTATAGGGGCCACAGCCTCATCTCTGTGTCTTTCCTCCCCATACTTCCTTCATTCTGGGGAAGGTTCCTGAGGTCCCCAGCCTCCTCTAGGTCATGGAGTCCTGGGAGCTGCCAGCAGCGTGGATCGGCTGTGCAGCCTCCCCTGCCTACTGCCCCGGTGGCACCTTGAGGACCTGTGATGCTCTTCCCCTGCCCTGGGTCTGAGCCTCTAGGACGCTGCTGCGGAACCTCCTGGTTGAAGAGGGGAAAGGAGCTGTCTGTAACTCATCATCTAACCCATGCCGGGAACCGCACAGATATTTTCCCACATAATCTTCATGGTCACCCTGTGCTGGAGGTACTACCATCCCCACTTTACAGAGGAGGAAACTGAGGTTCCAAGAGGTGGAGTCACTTGCCGAGGGTCCCATAGCTAGTGCGTGGCGGAGCTGGGGACTCAAACCCAGGTTGCTCTGACTCAAAGCCCACAGTCCTGCTGCTCCCCAGGCTGGCCCCTGCTCCTGGGAGAGATAAGACCCCATATAAACAACCCTAACATAAACCAGACAGCCAGGCAGGCCTTCAGGAGGCCCAGATAACAGCTGGGAAGATATACAAAGAGGGGCTCAGGCTTCCTGGGGAAATCTCTGTGTGAATAACATAAGAGGAATTCCCCACTGGGAGGAGCAGCCCTGGGGCCCCCCAGCAGCCATGCCCTGGAAGAGGGTCTGTTGGGGACCCAGGCCTGACCACAGGAAAGACAATTTCCAGTGCGGTGGCCCACGGGTGCCTTCACAGGTAATCAACATGGAATGAGCACCTGCGGTGTGTTGGGCCAGGCACCAGGCTTGTCATGCACTTATTATCTTACTCTATTCTTTCTGCAGTCCTGTCACACAGGATTGACTGATTGATTGGTTGATTGATTGACTGATTGAGACGGAGTCTTGCGCTGTCACCCAGGCTGGAGTGCAATGGCGCAATCTCAGCTCACTGCAACCTCTGCCTCTCGGGTTCAAGTGATTCTCCTGCCTCAGCCTCTGAAGTAGCTGGAATTACAGGCACGTGCCACCACACCCGGCTAATTTTCATATTTTTAGTAGAGACAGGGTTTCACCATGTTGGCCAGGCTGATCTTGAACTCCTGACCTCAAGTGATCCGCCTACCTCAGTCTCCCAAAGTGCTGGGATTACAGGCATGAGCCACCGTGCCCAGACTATTTTCATTTAGAGAAGGGGAAACTGAGGCTGAGAGAGGGGAGAGTGCTTCCTCAGGATCTAAGACCCTTTGGAAGGGGCAGGTTGGTCTGATTCCCAGGTCCGAATGAAACAGAGCTGCATCCCTGGCCACCCTTTGGTCTGGTCTTGTCTCCCTCCTCCTCTACCTGAGGCTCCCTCACCGCTGCCCCACCTGGCTCATGTCGGGAGCTGGAACAACTTCTGAAGTCAGCATTACATGCCCCTCTTACAGAGGAAGAAACAGGGGCTCAGAAAGAAGTGGCAGGGTGGCTTCCCAGTGAGATGGACTGGGGATGGGGGTGTGGATAAAACCAGGAGACCCCACACCCTACCTGAGCCCAAAGTACAGCTCCCTCCCTAACAGCTGGGGACAGGTCAGTGCCACTCACCTCTAGCTAATGCTTCCATTCCCACAACCATGGGTACCTTGTGGAGGACTTGGTGGCCCTTAGCCCAGTAGACGCCCAGGCAGCCTGGCTGCACAGTTGCCATGGAAACACCAGCGGGTTCTTTGAGGGCAGGAGAGCAATCAGCCCTTCTCACCTGGCCAGTGCAAGGCGCAGGCTGAGGCACAGGTTGGGGCTGTGCCAGGGCCCCCCACATGTGTCACACTCCAGGGCCCCAGGGCTGTGACCAAAATGGTAGTGCCACTGCCGGCATAGGGGATGGGGACGCCAGTGTGGTGGCACTGTTTGGCCCTGAGGGGTTGGAAGTTGACCTAACCACCTAACTGGGGAAAAGGACAAGAAAACCCAGCGACGGAGAGGAGAGGCACAGGAAAGGCGGCAGACAGAGAAGGGCCTCTTGCCGGGAAGGACAAGAGGTTCCGATCTAGCACTCTGCTGAGAGAAAGAAACGGGGACGCCCGCCGGGAAGGGAAGTGGGCACGGCCCCCGGATGAGGACGCACGTGGATCCGCCCTCTCTGGCATTTGTGCGTGTTTGGTGAAAACCCCTCACTGGGGCTTTGGAGGGAGGGCAGGCCCCGGGGCTCAGGGGTTGGGGTCATTTCCAAAAACAAGGCTGCTTACACTTCCCCAAAGCACCCACACGGCAGAGGAGAGCCCACCCGTGCCCTGGCAGGTTTGAGGACGACAGCTAAAAGCTCTGAAAAAAGCTTAAGCCTCATTTTCTTTTGAATCTCAAAAATTCATGCCAATTCTGCATTCTACTCCAAAATAGCACCTTTTTATTTTATGATACAAGTACCCTACTCAGGGCACTTGTTCCCCAGGGCAATCTCACACACTGGTATGAGAAGCTCAAATATAGAAATTAAGCATGAAACCTCAAGAGTGGATAAGCTGACCTTGAGGGCGTGGGTGGAGAAAGAACCTAGCCTCCTAGAACAACACAGCTGGAGTGGGGGGAGGGACGAGGGTTATGGATCAAAATACACAGAGCCCCGACTGCTCACATTCATTCACTCATTCATTTTCCTCTTATCCTCTTTAAAATCGTGTGCCTACTATGTGTTAGCACCGTTCTCGACGGATATAGCAGGAAACAAAACAGACAAAATCCTTGCCTTTGGGACAAGCGCAATGGTTCAGGCCTGTGACCCCAGCACTTTGGAAGGCTGAGATGGGAGGATCACCTGAGCCTGGGAGTTCGAGACTGCAAAGAGCTGTGATGGCGCCACCGCACTCCAGCTTGGGTGACAGAGTGACACCCCGTCCCAAAAAACTAAAAATAAAATAAAATAAATCTTGCCTTCGTGAAACTTATATGCTAGTAGGAGACAGAATAAATAAGACAAATCAAATACGCAGCATGTTAGACTGTGGGAGGGGCTAAGGGGAGCAATGAGGTAGTGAGGGGAAACAGAAAATGGGAGATGGGGGCAATTTCCTTTTTTTTTTTTTTTTTTGAGACATAGTCTCACTCTGTTGCCCAGGCTGGAGTGCAACGGCACAATCTCGGCTCACTGCAACCTCACCTCCCGGGTTTCAAGCTATTCTCCTGCCTCAGCCTCCTTGAGTAGTCGGGATTACAGGCATGCGCCACCATGGCCGGCTAATTTTTTTGTATTTTTAGTAGAGATGGGTTTTTGCCATGTTGGTCAGGCTGATCTCAAACTCCTGACCTCAAGTGATCCACCCGCCTCAGCCTCCCAAAGTGCTGGGATTGCAAGCATGAGCCACTTCGACCGGCCTGTTTTGTTTTTAAAGAGACAAGGTCTCACTCTGCTGCCCAAGCTGGAGCGCAGCCTTGACCACAGCCCATGCAGCCTCGACCATAGCTCATGCAGCCTCAACCTCCTGGGCTCAAGCGATCCTCTTGCCTCAGCCTCCCAAGTAGCTGGGACTACAGATGTGCACTGCCACACCCGGGCTCATATAGCTTCTTAACTGGGTGGGCAGAGGAAGCAGGGGGCAGAGGCCCATCCCCAAGGAGAAACCATCCATCAGTGGGGGACTGACAGGGACACTCCACCCACTCAGCCCAGTGTGCTTCTGTCCAGGGTGACTCCAATGGCTGCCACAGCTGTGGTTTACTGACTTCAGGTCTGACTGCCCTCTCCAGAGTTGCCCTAGAATCCCTTTGCCTGCAGCTGGAGTGCCCCTCAGAACTGAGGAACAAGTTTGGAGAGGACCAGGAGGGGCTCTCCCCACCCCCACCCATTTCCCACATGAAGATAAATATTTCAGGGTTGAAAAAATGACTCATTCTCCCCAGAGAGGGCTGGAGCTGAGCTGAGTCAGGCAGAATGAGCCCGCGGGTCACTTAATCGGCCTCCCTGCTCTGGCGGAGATGGCTCTGGGCCCCAGGAAGCCAGGGACAAATGGAGGCGGAGGTGGCAGAGATAAGCAGCTAGGAGTGTGCCAGCCTCTCCTTCCCCAACCAAGTGTGTCATTGGGTGTCACCCAGCACTGCTCAAGTTGAACCTGATGCAGAAAAAAATTCCTCTGGACTTTCCTGAACGAGTTTTATGGCTGACTCACCGCCACCTGGAGACTGCAAGAAAAGTCACAAATCACGAAAGGAGAAAAACAGTTCTCGTTAAGCCATGTCTTCAATAGAGTTATCAGAGGTCGCCGGGAGAAAAGCATACATGTTTTGTTCTGGGTTTCCTTATCTAAAGAAACACATTACACAATAGAGGGGGGTTGAAACTGGTTGCAAAACTGCAAAATCCAATTTTGTGTACTGGATTCGATTTCTTCAATAGCTGACACTAAACACTGAGAGATGTGGCCCTCGTGACCAGATGAGCCATAAACTGGCTCCAGGACCACCAACCTGGCACCTGATGGCTTGTTTCTGCTCCCCACTCTTTCCCTCCATGCATCTTTCTCTGAGCTTCTGCTCAAGGCAGGTGCCAGGACAAGCCACAGTCTCTGCCCTCAAGGGGTTCCCCTTCAGCGGTGAGAAGTAATGTCACAATTAAAGGGCAAGAGGGACCAGAGGACAGAATAGTGCCAGTTCCTCATCCAGATCGAAATTTGCTTCCAACTGCCTGTCACCACCCCAGAAAAGGCACTGCCTGCTCCCCTGCAGGCTTCTCATCCTCTTTTACTGGCCTCCCCTCTCCTCGCTGTGCCTGGCCCTCCTCCCTCCTCGCTGTGCCCAGTCTTTTTCGGCCACAAGCAAAACACCCTCAGCCTTGAAGTCAGATGCTCTACAGAAGCCTGCAAAAACAGACTCAGGAGTTGTGTGGCCTTGACCGAGTCACCTCACCTACCTCACCAAGCCTCAGTCTCCTCATCTGTTAAATGGGGACACAATAGGACCCACTTCCCTGGAGTTGACTGAAGTATGAATTGAGTCAATGTATTCATTGCTCAGCACATGGCTTAGCTCAAAGTTAATGCTCAATAAACTGTGGTTCCCACCTCCTGCGCCACAGAGCAGACATGAAACAGGTACGAGAAGCAACCAAAACGGGCGGCAGCAGAGCATCACCACACAAGGGGTCCTGCCTACTGTCCCGATGCCACCCAGAGGCTCAAGGGGCACCCCGGCTGCTCTCTGAAACTGCCGGTGGCACTTTCACCAGCCACCTCGTTTCCAAACTTGCTGCCAGCTTCCCCTAGTGCAGTGATTTTCACAACGGAGCTCCCGGCTGTGGGAAGGGGGCTTTCTTTGACTTGTCCTAAAATGGCCTCACCTGGACCCAGTGGGGTGTGGGGACCAGGGGGCTGGGCCTGGACCTATAAGTATGTTTCCTGCCTCCTCTCAGCCCCCATCCTTCTGCCGCCCCACGTTCTCAGCCAACAATAGCTGCTTCCCAGGCTCAGCTGCCACACAGCACGAGCTCCTTGAGCAAAAATACCCACGCGGGGGAGGGTGGGGAGGCACAGAAGGGGCCACAAACGGGCAGGGCTGGGAGAAGGGGTGGCAGGATCAAGCTTGTCTCTTGAGTGCCTACTGTGTGTCAGGCTGAGAAGGGTGAAGCCCCTGGGGGTTAGAGAAACCTGGGAGACCGTGGGGTGTGTGTGTCGGGGGTGCTGGTCTCTAACACAGCAGAGCCTCCAGTCTCCAGAGAGGGATCAGACCCAGGTCCAGGGTCTAGGGGTGAAGAAGGGGTCCAGGGAGAAGAAGGTGCCTAAGCAGGGAGCAGGTCTTAGAACCTAGTGAGAAAAAGGGGGGCCTGAACCCCAAAGAGAGCTCCAAATCTTAAGGAAAACAGGGGCTCAGGTACGGGGAGATGAGGTTCATAATAGGGGGGTTATGACTATTTCAGGTTTCAGGAGGGGGATGGTTTGGAGCAGGGTAGGGAGGTGGAGCGAGGCCTGCAGAGCTGAGAATCCATTTAACTGAGCAGCATCTCAGAGGTCTTAGGTGCCAACTGGGGTGACAATGCGGAAGAAAACAGAAATTCTAAGATAGCAGCAAGCGGCCTGCAGTTACCGAGCCTGGATGGGGGAGCAGTTCCCCACTGCTGGGGAGACCCCACTGGGCACAGAGAGGGTCTCCCCAGGCTTTGGCCCCTGCATCTCCTTTCTCTTCATGGCAGGTGCATCAGCTCGGGTCCCTGGAAACATCCCCGCTCCCCAGCAAGGGGCTGTGTCTGCACAGTGGCTCTGGCCCCAAACCCCACCTCTGTGGACTCCATCAAAGCCTGGGGAGGGCAGGGTCCTGAGGGGCCCTGGTCTCGCTGGGGTCGCATAGGTCACACGGAAAGAATTTGGAGGTCACAGCACTGCCCTCCCTGTAGACGCTTCAAAGCACCCCACTCCCTCGAAGCTGCCAGACTCTGCAGGGAGCGGGGGCATGGGGAGGGACGCAGCCACCAGGAGGCTGGGAAGAGGGACTCTGCCAGAGCAGCTGCCAGGAATCTGGGGCCCGGAGTCCAAGTTTGGCTGGAAGGCCCTGGGACAGGAGGCTCCAGCTTAGCGTCTGGCTCTAACGCTTGGACTGTGTGACTCTGGCGGCTCATGCAACCTTTCTGGGCTCTATGTTCTCATTGGTCAAAGCAATGGGCTGATCCCCTGCCCCACTCCAACCAATCACCAGGCCCTGCCCACTCTACTCAGTTTCTCTGTCTGCCTCTCCCTCACCACTACCACCGGCCTGGGCAAAGCCACCATCACCTTCTGATGCCACTCTTGCTCTCCCCACTCAAGTCAAACTGGATCCTCTTAGCTCCCTGCTGACACCCCTTCGAGAGCCGGGAGACCCCCACCCTGCTCGTTATACATTTTTGCCGTTTCTTACTTTGAGAGCACAAATGGAATCCTTTGGTGTAGAGGAAAGTAAAGCCTCACCTGGTCTGCACGGCCCTGCGGGACCCGCCCTGACCACCCTTCAGCCTCACCCTTCCTCTCTACTCCAGCTACACAGCTGGGGTCCCCAACCCTCCAGGCCTCAGACCAGTACCAGTCCATGGCCTGTTAGGAACCGGGCTGCACAGCAGGAGGTGAGCTGCGGCTGTGGGTGAACATTACCGCCTGAGGTCCGCCTTCAGTCAGATCAGCATTAGATTCTCACAGAAGTGCAAACCCTATTGTGAACTGCACACGCGAGGGATCTAGGCTGTGCACTCCTAGGAGAATCTATGAGAATGTAACTAAGGTGATGAATCTAACTAACATGAACTGAAGTGGAAGCTTCATGGACCTCAGATCATCAGGCTTAGTTAGATTCTCATAGGGGAAACCATCCTTCCTACCCTGTCCATGGAAAAATTGTCTTCCACGAAGTCCAGTGCCAAAAAGGTTGGGGATTGCTGCTATATATCAATCACCCCAGGGCCTTTGCACATGCTGTTCTCACAGCCTAGAATCTTTTACTCTGCATTTCTTTGCCCAGTTAACACTTAACACATCTTTCAGATCTCTTCTCAAACCCTTCTTCCTCAGGGACATCTTCCCTGCTCCTGCTCTCTGCCGGGAATGGCTCCTCTGACATAAACTCCCATAGCAACCTGCTTATAATTAGAGATCTGTGCAATTGTCCAAGACCATGCCTGCTTACTGACCATTCTAGACCTTGTGCCTGGCACACAGTGGGTGCTCAGTAAATGGCAGACATTGCCACCACTGATTATCCCACATTTACCTATGGTGGTGTTTGGCAGATGCCCCCAAGAATCTGTGGGCCAGGTGCGGTGGCTCAAGCCTGTAATCCCAGCACTTGGGGAGGCCGAGGTGGGTGGATCACCTGAGGTCAGGAGTTCGAGACCAGCCTGGCCAATATGGTGAAACCCTGTCTCTACTAAGAATACAAAAAATTAGCCGGGCATGGTGGTGGGCGCCTGTGATCCCAGCTACTCAGGAGGCTGAGGCAGGAGAATGGCGTGAACCTGGGAGGCAGAGGTTGCAGTGAGCTGAGGTCACTCCACTGCACTCCAGCCTGGGCAACAAGAGTGAAATTCCATCTCAAACAAACAAACGAAAAAGAGTCTCTGTGTGGGAGGGTGCAAAAGCAACCACGTGGGGTATCAGGAGGAACACAGGTCTCGGCAGCTGAGGAGTCTGCTTTCTAATCCCAGCTCTGCCACCACAAGCTTTGGGCAAGGTGCCTCCTCTCCGAGCCTCAGTTTCCTTATCCAATTGATCTAAAGGTGGAATGGACATGCTGGCTATTCATCGTGACTGCTACGAATCTCTCTCTAGACTCCCACCTCCCTTTGCATCCACTCCCCCTACCAGGCGATGTTCTGATGGCTGAAGTGACCAAATAAAATGCCCAGGATAGTGCCGGACCCAGAGAAGACATGTCATAAATTAGGATTTCCAGCATATTCAATGGTCCACCAGCATCAGAATCAGGCATTCTGCTGGAAATGTAGGTTCCTGGACCCTCCCCCCATACTTACTGAGTTAGAATCTCTAGGATGAAGGCAATGAATCTTGTATTTGTAACCAACATTCCTGGTGATTCTCATGCACATTCCTGTTGAGAAGAACTGAAATCAATGCAACCTTATGCTTGCTACCGCTAACTTGCAATTCCTAGGTGCCCTGATTACCAGCACAGAGGTGAGACTCATCAGAAAGGGGCGTGGCCTTCATAACCTGGTATTCTTCCTGATGGCTTAAAAACACGAGTACAGGCCTCACAGTTAGATTGAGGTGCAAATTCCAGTCCCTCTACTTACTGGCTTAGCTGTGTGACCTTGGACACATGGCTCAACCTCTGTGAGTCACCTTTCTCATGCTTAAAATGGCAGTAAATTACCTCTACCTGCCAGGGTTGTTGCAATGATCTGAGGAGGTGCTTTATGCAAAGCAGTTCATGTGCTCAGGGCAAACAGTGGAAAAACAAAACAGGAAATGCTTCTGTGTCTGTCTGTGCCTCCTACCTGCCACAGGAGAACTGCGGGTAGAATCTGTGTACCCTTCTCAGGACACCACAAATCCCAGTCACTTATAGAGACAGAGACTGCCTATAAGGCTAGTCAACTCCCAACCACCCTTGCAGAAGTGGGAGAGAGTGGGAGTTTGTGAAGAGCAAACGCAGGAATTGGATGGGAAAATGGCTGGGTGGTTGTCTAAGGCTCGTGTGGAGTGACCCAGGACCCAGAAAGTCTCATCTCCCAAGGCTAGGCCTTGGAGGGCAGCAGGGCCAAGCATGCCACAGGCAAGAACACAGACTCTGGATCCAGACTGTTCAGGTTTAA